GGATCGAACTCATGCTGAAGTGACTTTAGCTTCTAAGGGCTGTGTCCTAACCCGCTGCACCACCAGGGAGGGCCCACAGTTATCATTGTTAACCATTACATTTTAATTTTTAATTGTAAGTGATTTAAGAACTTTTACAGTTTCATTCCTTTTGAGAGAAGATTTATCTGCAAATAATTAGTAAAAAGTTTAAGGATACTTTAATATTTTTAGGTGACATAAGATATCTTTTAGATTAAAATTTTTTAGCTTTAAAAATAAACCTAAATTTGGGATCTCATATTAAAATGCACAGATGCAGGTCCACAAGATAGGGGAGCTGGATCAACTGTGTGAGGTTGGTATCTTTAGCCCTGCTGCTCCGGGCCCTAAGCCTGCTGTCTCAATAACTAGCAGCTGCAGCCCAGCTCACAGGGAGATTATTGATCATTATCAAAGTCCTAGCTAGAAATGTGGGTTTCCTAGACCAGACATCTAAAAAATGTGATAACTGGATTGGTGGGGACTCCAGCATGTAGTGATGTGATGATTTAAGAATTATACATTCAAGTAGATGAAAAGGAGAAGATTGTGGATTCTAGATTTAAAATATTAGACTACAGCTCATTAGCCACCAAATGGGTAAGAGGAAAGACAGTGAATAAAGCCTTGAGCATCGTAAACACAAAAATTACTAAGGAACTGTGCCTTTCTCCTGAGAAACTGTACTGCTCTACACTGGCTGAAGATGCATTCAAGGTTGAACCTGACTGAAAATAAACAAGAACCCAAGAAAGGAGAGGCACAGATAAAGGTCCCTGTCATGAAACTCTTAGCAGATCCCATGACTGTTTGCCCACGTGCATGCAATCACCATTGATGTTCGGAAACCTCTTATGTTATACTAAAAATTATGAGATATGTACAACATTTACTGTTCCCATTGTTCTGATGAAGCAAAATACAGTTCACTCTTCTCAGTCATAGTTTCTTTCAGCCCTCTTTTTATTGCCTTAACTCAGCTCATGTTCATTTTGAATAGTGTGTGTGGCCACAGACACAGAAGTCAAAATGAATTCTCACATTTTGATAGTATACAAATATCTAATTTTATACAAATCTGTTTTGGGGAGATTACCAATAGAAATCTTTGGTGTAATTATTTGATAAAACCAGTTATGTACATAAAGCAGATCTACAGCCCTTATAGAAAACAATGGAAGGTTTTTGGAAGTATTAAAAATAGGTACAACAATTATATTAATACGTATCTACCCTAAGAATGCAAAAATGATGACTTAAAGGGATATGTACTCTCTTAATGTTCATTGCAGCACTATTTAAAATAGCTAAGATACTGAAACAACCCAAGCACCCAGAAATGATTGCTGAATGGTTCAAGTTCTAATATTAGATACATAATGAAATACTACTTAGCTTGAAAGAAAAGATGAATGAACTCTTGCTATTTGCAACAGTATGGATCAAACTGGAAGGGATTTTGCTAAGTGAAATAAATCAGGAGAAACACAAATTCTGATGCCTTAACCCATGTATGGGTTATAAGGAATGGACAAAACTGAACCAAAACAAAGCCTATAAGTCTGATTGTATAGAATTGAGACTACTGGAGAAGAAGGGGTGGGTTGGGGAGCAGAAGGACCCAGTTGATTACAGTGGCAGATTACAGGTATTACAAGTGTGTTATTGGGTGTGCTATGGTGTGGTATAACATACATTTGAAGAGGTGTAAACCTGTACCTCTAACTCAAATATTGTTGCAAACCAGCATTACCTCAATAACATATAATGCTATAAATATCTCCTCAAATCTTACTTGTCACATGTTTTCAGAATGGAGTAGATTCAACTCTAGCTTATATATACTAATTATTTGATGCCTTATAGTTCATTCTGTTAAACTGTCAGCCCTTTTCATTAAAACAGCTTCTTTAATGTTTCTAGGTTATTGAATCCTTGGGAATTATTATCTATAAGGCACTGGACTATGGCTTGAAGGACAATGAAGAAAGGGAATTGAGCCCTCCCCTGGAGCAGCTTATTGATCAGATGGCCAACACGGTGGAGGCTGATGGTAGCAATGATGAAGGCTATGAGGCTGCAGATGAAGGCTTGGAAGGGGAAGAGGAAAAAAGAACAGTCTCAACTATCCGGTCCTATAGAGATGTCATGAAGGTAAAGCAACGATTTAAATAGTACTTTTCTTCCGAGAATTGTTACTTAACTTAAAGGAAACATTGAACAGTAATTCAACATTTGATGGTAGTCAGGTGTAAATGAAATGAATAAGGATCTGTAATACACTGATTCTATGATTTGTTTACAGACTCAATATGACCTCAATCATAACCTTCTCAAAAAAAATGCCTTTAGATATTATGTGCTTTCCTTATCTTTACATATTATACTCCAACTTAACTGGGTATTGTCTTGAATTGACTTCTGCATTTTCCACTGCATGTAACAATAACAATTGTTAAGGAAAGATTCTGAATCTGAACATCAACTAATTGTTTCATTTTTTTTTTCTTGATTTGGTTTTAGTTGCATGTAATAAAACAACTTCGGTAACTTGAATTTTTCTCTTTAAAAATTTCTACTACTTTAAATTTTAGGAAATGCAGCAAGAT